ACAAGATACTTGTCAGTCTCAAGGGTCAAAAGTTAATGCGCTGTATATATTCGATTCTTGGTTTAAATTTTGCAAGTTTTTGTTTATTTCAGCTGTAAATTTATTTGTCCTGGTGAATCAAGAGTTGTTAGAATAAAGTCAGTACATGGAGTCATATTTACATCTGGTAAACATGAAAGGTCAACTTCCACGCGTCTAAACGAAATTAATGTATCTATGCTTAATTGTTAAATTTTAACTAGCCCAGTTACTATATTTTAAGTTTTCACTTTTAGGTGTTTTCATTCAGTAAAATTGCTTTTAAAGAGGCCTGACAAAAACGGCTCAACATTTGTTGTCATACGAGGCTCACTGGTTAGTAGAAGTGCCCAACATGTATCTGGGACGCACAAGTTCGAACCTCGTCTTTTTTTCAATTTATCCGATTGCAATTTACCTGTGAACATCATTTCGTTCTTTGTTATCGTCACAAGTTGGAATATGATTTATATATTTCAATTTATGAGAAGAAAAAAAGGGGAATTCAACTGAAAGTGGCCAGCAATAGTTGCGGACAGGAGCAGCTTTGACACAAAGCATATATTTTCATCCGACGAAGGGCTAACGCTCGAAACGTCAGCTTTTGTAATCGTTACGGTGGCCAATTTAGCTTTTCAACTTTGTTGATATATCCAAATTATATCCTGGTAATAGCTAAACTTTGAAGGCAGAATATTTCAAATCGCTAGCGCAGAATGGCGGGAGTCGCTCAGGCTAATCAAAACTTATCAGCGGTCGACTGCCATTTGCTTTCCAGCTTGCCCGGCGCGTCACCTTGCGCAAGGTCCTTCCCCTGCTCTAGTTCAGCTATCCTTCCTTCAGTGATCAAGATAGTCAATTTACCATACAATACTAGCGATTAGTTGGTTTGCTTTTACTTAGAAGAGTAGATTTACAATACGACTGAGTATGCCGATATAGAATAAGTAAAGCTCTGTAAACTGCAATACACTTAACACTGACACAATAAGCCTTTTAGCGACCAAAACCGGTCTCAAAAACTAGGAGCTAAAATGCATAAAACACGAGTACTATTGCAGAGCGTTTGAGAGCATTTGGTCAGACTGTTAAAGAAGGATCAAAGTGGCCATTTAATTCTTTGAAAAGCTTCAAACTACGACGTACATCAAATTAGACCTTGAAAACCGGTCTTAAATTACATGCTAAAAAAAGCGGTGATTACGTTTGTCTTTGAATACCAACTGAATACGCGAAAAAAAAATACTTCCACACATTTAATGTAGATCCAATTAAATTTACATATGGTGGAAGGAAAAAGAAACGGCGTAGGTTCTTTGAGGAAATGATCCGTCGATTTCTGTCACTTTCACCGCCATATTGAAATAACTCTACCACAATACAACCCAGTCGTAGTGAACACACCACCCGAGAGGGATTGTTCAAGGGTGGTAAGGGTTTTCGGAAAATCACTCTAAAAAATGACTTCCATACTAAAAAATGCCCGAATTTGGTGTATTTCAAGTTCAAAAGGATAGTACTTCTACTTCGTAAAAATCGCTCATTTTAGGTGCAAATTGTAGATACATGTTTTAAAAAAGCCGTGCGTTGATTTAGAAGCACACACTTCCAATACTCAGAAAAGTGAGTTTTACGAAACCTAGTTTAGTAGCCAATTTTGGCCCATTCTTCTCTAATTCAGGGCTCCTCTAAGTGCAGTCGCCTTCAAGTTTGGTTATGAATAGTTCATGATGTCCACACATTCTGCCAAAAACATGGTTGTGCGTGGATGAAGTTTACCATCCGCGCTCAACCGTGTTTTTACAGAGTCCCGTTTTTCTCGAGCGCGATGTAGATGATTTACAACTAACCACCAGACTCAAAAAGCATACAAGGAGACTTTTCGCAAAAATGCTAAAATTGATTCATGAAAGATTGATTTGAAATTAGTATTTTCAGATGGTAATGGGAGAGATTTCACGAAAATGGAAAATTAATGAAAAAATTAAATCGTTAATTCCACTTCCAGGCTTGATGACGATGCTGATGATACTGCCCCTGTTGACGTCACTGGGTGCACTATAGAGCCCACACCCTTTAGTCATCCAAAGTATCCAAACATAAAGTTTTGGAACCTACCAGGAATTGGAACTCCGAATTACCCTGACCGGGAAACGTACCGCAACAAGGTACAGCTCGACAAGTATCATACATTCCTCATTTTTTCAAGCAGCCGGTTCACCGAGAACGACATCGTATTGGCCAAAGAGATCAAGAAACAGGGAAAGTCTTTTTTTTTCATTCGCACAAAAATCGATGACAATGTGCGAGCCGAGAAGCGAAAGAAATCTTTCAGTGAAGCTGCTATGTTAGAGAAAATCCGGCGCAATTGTATGGAAAACCTGGTTGACGAGGCTGCCAAGCCTATATGCAGTGTAGACCACATCTTCCTGATAAGCAACCATCATCCAGACAAATGGGATTTTGGTCGACTTACCCAAGAGATTCTTGATGCATTGCCAAGATATCAGCAAGAGACCCTTACCTTGTCTCTGAATACCCTCACCACCTTATCAAAAGATATGCTGAAGAGAAAAGTTAAGGTTCTCGAAGGGCGGATGATGTATGTTGCAGGGGCATCTGCTCTGGCAGCGGCGATTCCAGTTCTTGGGCTATCTTTTGCCGTAGATAGCGCTCTCCTATTGAAAGAAATTAGAGAGTACATAACCCAGCTTGGTATTCCTGAAAAAGGATCCAACAGATTTGGGAGGCTAAGTTCTACCACCCAGCAGGAGATTCTCGACCTTTTCATAAAGTTTGCCACTGTCTCTGGAATTGC